AAAAAAGCGTTCAACACCAGTTTGTTTAGAGTTTCCTTTGCGTAATAAATACAACTTTTTGTTTGTTTTCTTTATTTTGGCACTGAAATGCTTTTTGCATGTTTTCATCATATAAAACTCTTTACACTGCCATGCAAATACATTAGACTTCATCTTATCAAATAGCATCTGAAGCTAATTTAAGGCTTGCACATATTTTTCATGAACAAGCATGACGTTATAATCTGACTACTCGTAAAGATGACGCTCCAGTCGGTTTGTTTGTTTCCTTCAGGAGGACCAGAAGAAATGCCTGAGGTCAGACGAACCCCAGAGGTGATGCGTGAATCATTGGCGTGGTGTGTGTGTGTGTGTGTGTGTGTGTGTGTGCGCGCGTGTGGGGTGTGTGTGTGTGTGTGTGTGTGTGTTCACAGCCTGTGAAATAAAGACGGGGCAGGAGAAGGAAGGGGACGGGGTCGTGACATAATCAAGCACTGATTTAACTCAAACTGCCAACACACGTACACCGTCTCCCTTGGGCCTGAGATAACCGAGTCAAGAGCCTGGGGGTCAGAGGTCAGGGCCCTGGCTCATAGGGAACACATGGAAGGGATAAAGAGTCTCTGGATTCCATGAAGAATGAGCGGTGACTGACTTATTTATGAATCCAAGGACAACATGGCTGCCCAGCTCCCTCCTGCTTCGCCTCACACATGTAGAGAGAAAAACACTGAAAACAAAACCGTCTGATGCTTTCCAGTTCTCACTGAAGAACTTTCATCGAAAAGTAAAAACCAAACCAGTGTGAGGTGATGAGAAACGCTTTTAATTTGCACCGTAGAAGTTAGGAGACATGACCCAATTTAATAGATGCTGCTGGTCTGAATATATTAATAAACTGTATTCAAATCATATATTTGAAATGAAAGTTTTTGGAAGTACAGTACTGTGGGGAAGCTATGTACAGAAGATATCACTTTGGATAAAGATGTAAAGTTTTGTACCTAATAGCATCTAATTTGTTACAATCCGTCATTCAAATCCTGTTTTACAAACTACTGTCACCTTCAGATCTTTTGTTAGGAGTTGGTTTAGTATTTCAGGTCAAACATTTGTCACAAAATAAATTGTTTAAGTCTAACTGGGAAGGTTAACTAACTCTCATCCTGAAAAACATAGACTTATATGAAAAACTAAAAGAAACAATAATTAATCAACTTTTAGAACCAGGTTTAGCATAAATATTTCTCTGTCGTCTTACTTTATCAGTCTGCTTGGTTTTCTGGAAGTTTTGATATTTAATTTTTGGACATGTGGCATTTACTGTGAACAGGACGTTAAAATGAACATTTGCCTTAATAACACCAGAGTCAGATCAATGTAGTGGACTTCCATCTCAGGATACAAAAACATGCCGCTAAGCATTCTGGGAAATAGTTCCCACTCTTGTCTTTTTCTTCTTTTGCGTTTTTAAGGTGCTAACTTGATAAATTTATCTGACTTAAAGAATAAAAGACAGCAGATACAACTAAATGTGGCTGATATGTTTTACAACTTGAAATAAGACAAAACTAACTGACGAGTAACTTTTCAGTGGTTGTTTCTGACCAGGCGCGTCTTTGCAGATTGATATTATATCTCAAGTAGTTGGTGACAGATTTAAGAAATATGTTAAAAACATTTTTTTTTAAATAAAAGCAACATACTGCAGCTTTAAAGGCTTAATGTATCTTCCATTTCATACAGTGACGCACATCTTTGTGTGTGTTTGGCAACATCTTCCAGTTCTGGGAAGTCATCACTACTTGGATTCTTAAAGCCGTAGCAGATAAGGACGCTTCAACCAAAGTGCACATTCCTGTCAAAGGTTTAGAAAAAAACAGCAATTTTTACGGTTTAACACTGGATCTTTTTTCTGTTATTGTTCATTTTTGTGTGATGGGAACGGTGCTGCTCATCAGCACACATTACGGGATGAACCAAGACGTCATGCAAACAGCATGCAGTGGAAATATGTTTGGTACACATCTGCACACACTGAAAATAACAGAGGAGGCTCATTATTCCTGCGACTGTTTTGGTTTTTGGTGTTTGGTGAGAAAATCCAAAACAATCAACTCATCATCAAAACAAAGAATGAAGCAACATGTCTGTTGAACGTGTTTCAATCTACAGGTCGATCAGTTGTCCAGTTCACACCTGGAGGAGATCAAGTGTCTTGTATCTGTTCACCTAAAATAGCAGTAATGCCATTTAAAAAGCTTTTAAGCTGATCTGCTATGCTTCCTTGAACAGGTTAGGATACACCAATGAGCTATAAAAACATGTTCAATTTTTTTTGTGCATAAAATCATTTTCATATACAAAGATTTTAGTCCAGTTATGAATTGTTTTATGGCATTTTGTCCCTTTAAATTCATATGACTTGCTGTTGGCCACGCCCCCCAAACTCAACGTTTACACTCACACATGAGAATGGCTACTAACAGATGCACAATTATACACCAGTACATCTTTGAAAAGCAGAAGTGGAGCCTCCTGCACAGCCAACAAGAATGGAGCAAGTGGTTTCTGAATGGTAAGTCAAAAAAAATTCCTGTCTTTTCCTGCAGCCATTGTACAGCGGTAAAATGTAAATTCCAGAGGTTTTTTAAAACATTTAACTTGACAAAAAACAAAAACAAACCCCCCCCATAAAAACCAGTTCAATGTTTTTTTAAAAGTGCTTCAGATGTTTTAGAAACAGTAGAAAGACAAATGAAAGGATTGGAGGTGAATTTTGAATTGAATAGTACATCGCCTTTAAGTATTGCTCTATGTTTTGCTCAACAAATCTGTCTTGTCTGGCTGAAAGGGAAAATCAGTTGAAAGCGTTTCCACTTCTTAAACACCTTTAATAACAATGTTTTATTTCCTCTTTGTACTATCCTCCCATCCTGTCTTGTTCATCAGCTTTCCTCTGCATGTTTGGTCTTCTCTAAGGGGAAGCTGAGAAACTCTTTTTCATGGGACACTGCATGATCATCATATGTCTGTATTGTTTTTCTGTGTTCGCCCTCCGTCTCCTATTTCAAAGCAGCCTGATGGCAGAGGAGTCTGAAGGAGGACAGCTTGTCTGGGGTGACCATTTTTAACCTCCTATCTGTGCTCTTTTTACTCAAAGGATCACTGTGTGCGTGTATGTGTGTGTGTGAGACATATTTGAAAGAGGATGCGGTTGTTGTCATTACACCCTCTGGAGAAACTGAGGGTAAGGAGTAGAAACCTTCAGGATGTTGTGTTTGCAAAGGACAGCCAGTTCTGACTGGGAGACGGGAGGAAAAACTCAGCAGGCTGTGGGTGCAGGCGGGGGGTTTCTTCCTGTCTCACTGCATTCATTGTTCCTTTTCAAATAATGGATGCATCCATAGGAAATTTAAGGCCTATGCAGGGATCATCTTCTGGACAGAGATAGATATAATCTGTTAGTGGAACTAGTATTTTCATCATTGTTAAGGAATTATTTACCTAAAACAAACTTCTATATCTTGTTAAAAAGTGTCTTAATACAAGTGTATTAAGATATTTGAAAATAGAAAATAGACCAAAAAATACTTGGCAAGTTTTTTGTGTTTTTGTAGTGGGTTAGCCATCATGTCTGCAAAAACACAAAATTTTACCTTGCATTCTTGGTTTAGTTTCTAGTGTAAATATCTTGGAACACTTGAAATAAGACAAAACTAACTTACAAGTAACTTTTCAGCAAAATATAGAACCTTGTTTTGAGTTGATAATTTCTTAATATTAATAAATCCATTGGCAGATTATTTCACTTATAAATTGCAAAAAATGTCATGTTACCAGTGAAATAATTACCCACAGAACTAGGAATCTCATCAATATTAAGAAATTATTTAATTAAAACAGGCTCCTGTAACTTTCTGAGAAGTAATTTTTCAGTTAGTTTTGTCTTATTTCCAGTGTATTTATCTATTTCAGAAAGGAGACCAAAAGAACCCACTTCATTGTGAGTTATGCTAACTAGCAATAAATCATTTTTTGTCCGGAAGGATGGAGACGCAAAAGAGTTTTTCTAGTAACCTCCTGGTCCAGGACTTTGGCTGATTCTGTGCTGACTGGAACCTTTTTTCTGAGTAGCTTGACTCTGACTCACATCAGTTGAACTTTTTCACAGCACCATGTGAACATACATCTCCAGCTCTGATGACTGCGGGTAGAACATGAACCGCAAACTCTGCGACTGCTTTGCTTCATCCACTGAGTCATGGAGGTAACATGTAAACACGCTAATGAAGCAGGGCATAGACGGATGGATGGGAGGCTGCGCGCTTGCCAGCCATGCATGCAGTTTGAGGGTATATTGTTGGAGGATAAAGAAATTCTTTCTCTCAGTCCCTTTCTTTGCTTTTACTCACTCCAACGCTTTGATTGATGGCAGAAAAGCTGATTTGGTTCAAATGTAAACAATCAGACAAAATTTCAGCTCTCGCCAGAAAAGTAATACTGCTTAACTGGGAAAATATCTTCTCACAATGGAACAACAATCAGCAATAGATAAAAATTTGAACATTTCAATAAAATATATAACCATGATTTAATCAAGAATATTAGAGAAAATGAAAATAATAATGCAAATCAAAATATAACTGCCAAGATTAAAGAAAAATATATATTGACACCATTTTGTCTTTGTTCTGAATGCATAAATTAGAATGTACTGACCCTTTGCGCGTGACGTCACGCTCTCAAGAACTCCGCCCACTTCGCGTCAAAACAACGATGCTCTCTTTTAAAGCAAGTCTAAAAACAAACATCTGTAACCTAATATCGCTTTTATTTAATCGATTTCACTTTAAAATGGTGGCTGCATTAACAGAGAAGGATACAAACCAAACTTGTCATTTAGTTTTATAACTTTAATGAGGAAAGATACCGTGGTGATGCGATCCGTTCCAGTAGATGGCGGTATTGCACATCAATAAGTTGCTTGCCAACCGCTGTTTAAAAAAAAAAGAAGAAGACGATACCGTAGTAATGATGGACGTCAGTTGTCAATGAGAATGACTGGCAGTAATGACGGATTTGGTAACTCTTCTTAAAAGGTAAAAATGTTTACGTTCATATACTTTATAAGTAAGTATAATTTTAAAAATATTAAATATCGCATTACGGAGAAGGTAGGTGTCTAACCATTAGTAACCATGTAGCCTAGCATGTATGGAAAAAACTGGTTAGCATCTTGAGTTTAATACGTTTTTAAATCTGCTCTGATGTAAAAGGGTAAACGCTTTCTATGACGTAGTGATATATATCGTGTGGTGTGAATTCAGGCAGCCGGTAATTTGATCAACACGTCAGGCGGGAGCAGGTATCTAAGCTAGCTATTTCAGATAGTGACTAGGGTCTTTTTTTTTTAATTATTTTATTTTTGTTGCCGTTATTCGTTCTCTCGTTATTTAGTAGACCAATACGTCCTTTTGTTGTTCTGTAATCTTTGTTGTGTGTGCTCTACTTGGTGAATAAATTAAGAATAAAACACCCTCAGATGTGAACACAGGCACATCGTGAGCTAATCCCGTTAGCATCTCCATGGTGACTTCAGTGTGGGGGCTTACCAGTGGCCTGTCCTCAAACCAGCGAGGGAAAAACAAGGCGCTGGCATATAAGTGTTTGTGCCTGCCTGGATGCCCTTTTTTCAGTTTCATGGAGTTAATCCTGGCGAGTCCGGTTGTGCATAACTAATCACCTCAAGAGAAGTTCAAACAGCATCAGCATGCATGACCCTGAATCTCCTGCAGTAGCCGGGACAACAGGCCTCTGCAGCAACGACTTTCTCTGACCTGCACATGGTTGCTATGCTGCTGCTGTTTTCCCTCCTGAGAATTAGAAAGTAGAGAAGGCTGTGTTCCCACTGCAGCCTGAAGTGACCCAATTCATATTTATTTGCCTTAATGCGACTCGTATGTGACCTTTTTGTGACAGTCTAAACAACACAGGTCGTTCAGACTGTCGCAAAAAAAAAAAAAAAAAATGGGTTGCATTTTTTCCGAATGCGACCCAGGCCATTTGGGTATCCGTTACGTGTCCAATCTTTTCAAATGTGACCTGAATCTAAACGGACAGGTCCATTCAGTGTCATTGATACTTGACAAACATTACTATTCTGCGTTCGGGAAGAAAAACAACAACTATGGCGGAAAATAATGAGGATTAAGTTGTTAATGTGTTGGCTCTGGTCAGATAGCAACTTTAAAATGATAAGAGATGCTCCAGCGTTAGCATCCATAGTTACTCCTGCAAACACTGAGCATTTCCTCTTCTTTTCATGGTGGTTGGGAAAACCCTGAGCATGCTCTCTATGTTTGACATTATTGTCACACATAGGAAATGTATCGCTCCTGGCCAAAAACAGCCAATAAGTGCCAACAGGCGGATCTTAGCGCTGTCAATTAATCTCGTATACTTGTTGATAAATGAGCTAAAGGTGGAGAAACAACTAGAAAAACCATTTATTTCACCTTTTCACTCAATTTGACCGCAGTACAAGACTGTCCAATGCACTGCTGTGAACTAGGTAACCCTTCGTGGGAGAGAGGCTTTCATGTCAAAATATGTAATAGGATTAATCTGCATTATGTAAAATTGACACGTTAAACTTTTTAGATTAATCACATTTGTTAATGGTTTAATGCCACTTCATTTAAGCTTTTAAGACTCATATTTGAGAACAAAAAAGTGGCTATAATCAGTGCGAACAGAATTTTGGTGATACAAACTATAAGACAAAGTTAACTTTTGTAAGCTAGATCACTGACAGTTTGTATTATTAATATTTTCTTTGATCGTCTTGTATTTAAATGAGTTTCATCGCTTGGCTTGTTGCACCTTGGGAGGAAAATAATACAACAGGGACTGTATTTGGGCCAATGATGATAAAAACACACAAAATTAATAAATAAAACAAAGCACAAAACATTTTCTTCACAATTCCAAGACAGTCTCTCTGTCTACTGAGGAAGTGGAGATGCTTTAATGCCAGTAGACAAATGTGGAAATATGATCTTTTGTGTTGCTCGTATGTTTTGTTTTTCACATTGGATTTATTTTTATTTGCTGTGTTGCATGTTTATTCTGTTGAGTAATTTCTGTTTTTATGCATGTTGTTGAAGTTTTGGAAATTTACCCGTTGCGCTCCCTGAGCCAGGTGTTTTCCATTAGCTAATATGGCATGGATGGAAAAAACGGAAATAAAGCGGGCAGATTGACAAGCTAGCAAACGGCCAGCAGCAGACAGAGACAGAGCGGCCGAGACAAGATGGCAAGAAAAAAGATGGCAGAAAAAAGACTGTCATAGTATACATGTGGGTCGTCTTATTTTAGCATTGACTGAACTGAAACACACTAAATTCTGCAGCACAAGTATATGTTAAGATTGTCATAGTTAAGCTAGCATAACTGATCTACGTCCTAGTTGGTTGCTCTTTTTTTATAAATTAAAATATTTTACTGACCTGTGAAATATTATACAATTGGACCTTGTTATCTAGTTGTTGTTGTCGATGATTAATTGCAAAACATTGCATTCATTTGCAAATTCCAAACAACAATATTGGTTGTTTTCCCAACAACCAATATTGATGTGTCCAGTAATATTTATCAATGTGCCTGAGTTGTATCAATGGTTATTGGTTCATTTTGTGGCTGCATGCAAAGAAACGGGTTATTCCAGATTTGTTTTTTGTTTTTTTTGTTCGCTGAACTAAACTGATTACATTAAATCTGTAATAACTTGGTACATTAACAGGATTGACAAAAGTTTAGTCATCCTTAAGAATAATTTAAACTATTATCTGGGAAGAAAAACAAGAAAGGACATAAAAAGAAGGGTGGACAAAAAACAGGAAGGAGAAAGAGATTTAGGGCTTGGAGAATGATACAACCCCATGGCCTCTGTTCTCAATATTGGCTGCTGGTTCGCTCCAGTGATCTAAGCTCCACTCCCCCAGCTTGGTCCCAATTTTCTCTTCATGAGTCAAATTAGTTCCAATACCAGGAGCTTAGTTGGGCTTGAAGAAACAGCTGGCTCTGTGTGCGGCCTTATGGATCCAAAATGGCCGACTGATAACAACAGTAAAGCTTGTGTTACCCTCCACATTCCTCTCCCACAGGCTTCAGGTCAGGGAAGCCTAAAGTGGGATATTGAAAATGTAAACAAATGGAGGCTTTTTTTCTCTTTACTAGATGAAGCTGTTTCTCAGTGTGTTTGAAGGAGTTATAGTTAGAATATTCTTGTGAGAAACACTGACTGTTCCTGACAATAAAACCAAGAAAACAAGCATATTTTCTCTTTTTCCAGCCTCATCAATGCGATAAAAAAGAGATAGAAATTAAGATATTAAAATTTCTTATTCATTAAAAAAAGTTGAATTTTTTTAACACATTTTTAAAAATTTTAAGCACTTTTTAAAAAAATTGTTTAAGATTTTTTTTTATTTTTAAAAATTAAACTAGTTTGTGTTTAAAAATAACTTTTTAGAAAAACATTTAAAATTGTGTTTAATTTGTGAAAATGTTAACAAATTAAAAAAATGAAATGTTAACTTTTTTATGTTGCTAAAAAAATTGTTTATTTAAACAAATTTTAAAATAAAAATTTGGCTATACGGACTTTTTGTGCAGAAGTCAACTATTTTAAATACATTTTCTAAATAAGTTGGATTATTTAGGAAGATTTAATAAATTTTCTACATCTTAAATGATCAAAGTCTTGAGGTGATTATAGAGAAATTATAGTAATACTCATTTTAGTTCAGTATTCTTTACAAAATTAAGTTTTTTTTTATCTTAATTTCAACCTATTGCTTGAAAATGGTCAGAAAATAATATTATTAGCATGAGGAGCTTGTCCACATATAAGTTTCAGTTTTTAATCAAAGAAAAACTACTTTTTATGATATCCTGACATATTTGGATGCAAACTCTCATTATGTTTAAGTATTTCTCCAAGCCCCAAAATAAAAATCAACTTCTCTTTAAAACTCACACATTTCTCCAGATTTTTGTGTCAGATTTTACAATAAAATGGTCTTTGGAGTCGCTGCCAGACTCCTAAGTGCCAACCAATCCTCTGCTTTTGGTCCAACGAGTGAGTAATAACACTCTCTGTGTCCATTTGAGTTGCATGGCTTGTAATGTTGTATAAGTCTGGGATTTAACTTTTGATGGCTCATAGCACTTTCTGGTAATCCCCTCAGGTTGTTAAGAAATTAACTCGATTTGCTGCCGACTGTTTTGAACAAAAACAAACATTGTTTCCTGATGGAGGATTCGGTTTTATGTGCACTGGCTGGAATCAGGGAAAAGCAAGGTCCGTGAAATGACGGAAAGCATACAAAAAAAAAAAAAAAACCCTGCTGGGAGGTGGAAGAGATTTTTACTGGTGGGGAGATGAGAGGAAAACAGATGAAGAGAAGGAAGAGACAGGAAAGAGGAGGAAGTTGAGAAGCATTTGCTGCTGTCAGTTTGTCCTTTAATCCCCCAGGATTTTTTTCTGCCTCCCTTTCCCACGTTCTTGGTGTTAATTGATAAACTCAGAGAGGGAACAAGACCCGTGACTAATCACTCTGGCGCTGCTGTGTTGCTGCTGCTCCTCCGTGTGTGTGTGTGTGTGTGTATAGGTCACAGAAGTGTGTGTTGGCCGCCGCTAACCTGGCACAGCTTTAAAACTGGCAGCATCACCAGTCTGCTGCTGTTTCATGCCAGCACCTTGTTGTTGGATTTTCCCCTTGAAAGAGAAACCACTCAAACTTTAAATCCTTGGCCAAATTACAGCTCGATGCATGACTCAGTAAAATACTATATGCCACGACTATAAAACAAGCAATGAATAGTGTAAGTGTTCCTTTGTATTCCTCTGCATCTGAGCATTTAGCGGAATTTGTTTTCTCTTAGGACCACAGCAGACAGATGAAAAAAGCACTTTCCTGTTTTTACTACTCTCGCTCGAGCTTGTTCATACTAAAGTGTCCAAAACAAGGAAATAGAATAATTATGTTTATTTAAACTTCTCACCAGAACTGAGTCATTTTTCTCAGAAGTCATT